TAACACAATCATACAATACTAGGAATCATGACCTAGCCAAGTTGCTATCCACATTTTTGGGGGGACACAATTCAATCCATGACACCACTTGTTATGGGTTTGTTGAGATCTTCTACTTCTTGAGTCACTGTAGGAAGTATATGTGTTTCTGGGAATTTTCTCATCTAGGTATCTAATGTGTTGTACAGTTGTTTATAATATTCTCTTATGGTACTTTTTCTTTAGAGTTGGTTGTAATGTCCCCACTTTCGTTTCTGATTTTAGATGTTTGCATCTTCTTTTCAGTCTAGTTAAAAGCGTGTTGATTTTATTGATCTTTTAAAAAAAACCAACTTCCTGGTTTTATTGATTCTATTTATCTATTCTTTATTTCATTTATCTCTGCTCTGATCTTTCTCTCTTCTGGTTGCTTTGAGTTTGGTTTGCTTTCCTTTTTCTAGTTCAAGTTGTAAAGTTAGATTATTGATTTGTGATCTTTCTTTTTTAATATAGGTGTTTACAGTTAAAATTTTCTCTGTAATCACTGCTTTTGCTGCATAAGTTTTGATATGTTGTTCTTTCATTTGACTAAATATTTTCTGATTTCTTCCTTGACCCATTGGGTTTTTAGTAGTGTGTTGTTTCCATATATTTGTGGACTTTATTTTCTGTTATTCTTAATTTCACTCCATTGTGGTCATAAAAGATACTTTAAATGACTTCAGTCTTTTTATATTTATTGAGACTTGCTTTGTGACCTAACATGTGGTCTATCCTGGAGAATGATCCCTGTGCATTGGAGAAGAATGTATATTGTGCTGTTGTTGGGTAGAGTGTTCTATACATGTCTGTTAGGTATATCTGGTTTATAATGTTGTTCAGGTCCTCTGTTTCTTTACTGATCATCTTTCTAGACATTCTGTCCATTATTGGAAGTGGTGTATTGAAGTCTCCAACTATTATCATAGAGCTATTTCTCCCTTTAATTCTTTCAGTGTTTGCTTTATATACTTCGGGGCTCTGATGTTAGGTGCATGAATATTTATAATGGTATCTTCTTGATGAATTGATCCTTTTATCATTATATAATGTACTTCTTTGTCTCTTATAACAGATATTGACCTAAAGTCTATATATATTTTCTGATATTAAAATTACCACCCCAACTCTCTTTTGGTTACTACTTGCATGGAATTATTTTTTCCATCCTTTCACAATTGAACCTATTTGTGTCTTTGGGCCTATGGTGTGTCTCTTATAGACATAGTTGGATCATTTTTTTAATATATATTCTGCCAGTCTGCATTTTGATTGGAGCATTTAGTCCATTTACATTCATAGTAATTACTGATAAGGAAGGACTTCTGCCATTTCATTATTTTTGTGTGGGCCTTACACCTTTGTCCCTTATTTTCTCTAATACTGCCAACTTTTGTTGAATTTTTGTAGTGAACGATTTTGATTCCCTTCTCCTTTCCTTTTGTGTACATTTTTTAGATAGTTTCTTTGTGGGTACTATAAGTATTGCATTTAACATCTTACATTTATAACAACCTGGGCTAAATTTATACCAACTTAATTTCAGAAACATACAAAAACTATATCTATACCGTTCCTCACCTTCTCCCCTCCCCCACCAGTTTATGCTGCTATCATCATTACCTCTTTAGACATCATATGCCCTGACACACATTTATACTTATTTTTATGTATTTGTCCTTGTAAAGCATGAAGGACATAGCCACTAGAATTACCAAGTAAAACTATCTTAAAACTTGCCGTAATACTTGCTCTCACAATTACCTTTAATGGAGATCTTTTTTTTTTTTTTTTTCTTTTTTCTGTGTATGGCTTTGAGTTATTGTCCGTTCTTTCCCATCTGAAGGACTCCCTTTAGCATTTCTTGTAAGGCAGGTCTAGTGGTTACAGACTCTCTGAGCTTTTGTTTATCTGAGAATGTCTTAATTTTGTCCTCATTCTTGAAGAACAGTTTTGCCAGATACAGTATTCTTGGTTGACAGGTCTTTTCTTTCAGCATTTTAAATATATCATTCCACAGTCTTCTGGCCTCCAAGGTTTCTGAGAAGAAATTGACACTTAATCTTATTGCAGATCCTTTGTATGTGACTATTCGCTTTTCTCTTGCATCATTTTCCTGATTTCCTCTAGTTCAGTTCTCTGTGTTATCATTTAGTTCTTTGAGCTTGTTTAATATTGTTGTATAATACCCTTCTAATCTCTTCATCTTGTTTATTTGGATGGGTGACTGTTTCCACTTCGTGATTTTTTTTTTTTTGTTGAAGCTGGAACATCAGAATTTTACAAGTTGTTAGCCTTCTCAATTCTCCCAAGTATTTGTTGTCTTTGGAAGCACTGGAAACCCTGGTGGCGTAGTGGTTAAGTGCTACAGCTGCTAACCAAAAGGTTGACAGTTCGAATCCACCAGGCACTCCTTAGAAACTCTATGGGGGCAATTCTACTGTGTCCTATAGAGTCGCTACAAGGCGGAATCGACTGGACGGCAACGGGTTTGGTTTTTTTGGTTTTTGACAGCACTATTTTCTGCAAGAAACTCTTAGGCAGGCAGAACCTTCAGACTTTGCTTATCACTTCATTTCCCTCTCTGTGATAAACTCCTTTTCATTCAGACCAAGGTTTTCATCCTTCATTGGCTCCCAAACAGAACAGAGAACACATACTAATTAATCTGTCACCCAGGGGGCACAACCTTCAGTCTTTGATTCTAACTCCCTCCACTGCCATGAGGGCTGAGTTTCTCTCCAGACCATGTTTTCAATCCTTTAATGAACCACCCTCAAGCAGATACAACCCTTAGTCCTTGGTCATTACTCCCTCCATACGCTTTGAGGGCTCACGTATCTCAGACCAGAGATGAGGGCCCTTTCCCATGCTCAGGCAAGCCATGGGTTGACTAGGACTGTGACAGCCAACTGTCCACTGTGTCACCAGGAGATCTGTCGTTCCTTGTGCAGAGGTGAGCCAAGCATTAGCTGGGGGAGCAGGATCTACTGCAGTCGTCAGTCTGTGTGCCACTGTAGCTGTCTGCGGCAGGCGACTGGCCACCATGTGGGGAGTGGGTTAGGACAGTGGAAGAAGTGCTTTTCCTACAATGTCAGACTTGTCTTTGACTGGGTTTGTTCTGCAGCTCTTTGCAGCTGTCCTCTGCTCACCGATTCTGAATCCCACATATTTCTCATTGCATTTCTTGGTGTATGTGTGGGAAAGGTTGGGAACCTTGACCTGCTCATGCCACCATCTTCCTAGAATATCTGTTATGTGAATTTTATCTCAAGTAAAAAGAATGGAAGGAGACGATTTTGAGACAACAGGTACATAAAACTTTCAAAAAATTTTTCTTCAAAGAGGAAAAAAGAAAAGAGAACAAAGATGGCAGAAAAAGTGGGGCCAGCTAAAGGATTTTTGTTATGGTTGTTTTTTGTATGTTTTTAATTTTTGTGGTAAAATATAACACATAATTTGCCATTTTAACCATTATTCAGTGACATTAATTACATTCACCATGTTTTGCAACCATTACCACTATCTATTCCAAAAGTTCTTCATCACCTCAAACAGAAACTCAGTGCCCCTGAAGCAGTAACTTCCCACTCTCAGCCCCTGGTAACCAGTAATCTACTTTGGTCTCGATGTATTTGCCTATCCTAGATTATTTCATATAAGTAAGATCATAGCATATTTGTCCTTTTGTGTCTGGCTTCCTTCACTTAGCAAAATGTTTTCAAGGGTCATCGATGTTGTAGCACGTATAAGTTCTGCACATTCCTTGTTATGGCTGAATAATTCATTGTATGGATAGACCATGTTTTGTTTATCCATTCATCTGTTGATGGTTACTTGGGTTGTTTCCACATTTTGGCTATTATGAATAGTGTGGCTGTGAATACTGGTGTACACATATCTGTTTGAGTCCCTACTTTCAAGTCCTTTGGGTATGTACGCAAGGTGTTTGAAGAAGGGAGAAATAAGAACATTTCTGCATGCATCTACTAGAAAGAGAAACTGAGCTCAAATGATGGAGAGCAGTCTTTATGGTCTCAAATGTTACTGGCTACAGTAACAAGCAGAAGATGAGCAGATACAAGCAAGCAGATGTGGTTGTGGCAGTCTGGGAAATACTCTTTGGATGGCATCAGTTTTCTCAATGAAGATTGAAGAGGAGGTGGTATGATTTGAAGAGAGAAAAATGAAATGGTCATGCAGGGAAGTTGGGAGAGTGGTTAGACTGGGGAAATGAAGTATAATTACTGCACAGTGTGTTAAGGCTCCCAAATGTGAGCATGAGACCAGACAGAGGAAGCATCCATATTTTTCTCTTGCTGTGTTCACCTACATGGGTGGAAGAGGCAGAGTGTTTAGAGGATTTAAGCAGAGCTTTTAGTTTTTCCATGGGATGCGTGAAATGGAGTGTATGGAAGTCACTGACAAAGGGCAAGGTCAGGTTATGACTTTTTTCATGGCTAGCCTGAATGTACCTCTGCTCCCTGCTCTCAGAATATCCCCTCCAAACATTCAAGGACAGCTTAAGGGAAGCCAGTCATACACTTGGAATCAGCCAGTACTAAAAATGGAGAGAGTAACTAGTTGTCCCACTTCATTTTGCATATGAAAACACTGAGTCCCAGGTAGGCTGACTTGTCAAAAGTCCACAAGTAGAAAGTGCTAAACTCAAACAAAACCATATACTTAATTCATTGAGAGGTACAAAATTCTATGAAACTACCAGAGAAAAATATTCACATATGAAATTATTAAATAGCATTGTAGTTTTATATTCTTTTGATCTCAGTATTTCCTGATGTCTGAAATATTATTCTAATATTAATCTCTAGTTTTCTAATATAACTGAGGACATATATATACTTTTATATATTTCAGTTAGACTTCTTTTCAGTAAGATTGTGGTTCCTGGTATCCAAGGCAGAAAAACAAACAAAAAACCTGAATTGGATCTGTATCATTTGTGACCCTTCTTTACAAACCTCAGGTTCAAAGTTGCTGTCAATTCCATCGTGTACAAAAGGATTATCTTCTGCTATGACTTCCACAAATTTGGTTGCTGTTAATTCTTTATTTATAATTTTAAAGTCCTGTAAAAGAAATAATCAGTGAACTTGAAAATGGAACTAGCGAAGTTACCCAACGTGAACAATAGAGAGAAAGCAGTCTGGAAAAAAAGAAATTGAACAGAGCCCCAGGGACCTCTGGGACAAAAGATCTAATGTTTGTGTCACTGGAATTCTGCAAAGACAGAAGACAGAAGGTGAGGCTGAAAAAGTACTCAAACAATGGCAGAAAACTCCCCAAATTTGGTAAAAGATGCAAACCTACAAATTCAAGAAGTAGAGTGAATCCCAAACAGGACAAACCCAAATAAATGCACACCAAGACACATCAAAGTCAAACATCTTAAACCTAAAGACAAAGAAAAAATCTTGAAAGCAGCAAGAGAAAAACAACCTTACTGAGAATGGAAAAACAATTGTAATGACAGATTTCTCATCAGAAATCATGGAGGCTGTAACTAAGTGGCACGATATCTTTCTAGCACTGAAATAAAAGAATTGTCAACCTAGAATTCTATATCCAGCAAACACATCTTTTAAAAATGAAGAGCAATGGAAACAAGACAAGGATGTCCTTTATCATCACTCCTATTTAACATTGTGCTGGAAGTCCTATCTAGAGCAGTAAAGCAAGAAAAAGAAAAAAGGGCATCCAAATTGGAAACAAAGAAGTAAAACTATCCCTATTTGCAGATTATATGATCCTATACATAGAGAACCCCAGATTCCACAAGAAAACTACTGGAACTAATAGAAAGATTCAGCAGAGTGGTAGAATATAAGATCAACATACAAAAATCAGTTGGATTCCTATACAACAACAAAGAGAATTTCAAAAAGGTAATCTGGAAAACAATGGCATTTATAATAGCCCCTAAAAAGATAAAATACTTAGGAATAAATCTAATCAGGGATGTAAAAGACCAGTACAAAGAAAAGTACAAAACACCACTCCAGGAAACTAAAAGAGACTTACAGAAATGGAAAAAAATTACCATGCTCATGGATAGGAAGACTCAGCATTGTGAAAATGTCAGTCCTACCCAAAGTGATCTACAGATATAATGTAGTCCCGAGCCAAATACCAAGAGCATTCTTTAAAGAGATGGAAAAACTAATCAACAACTTTATATAGAAAGGAAAGAGGCCCCAGATAAGTGAATCATTATTGAAGAAAAAAGTAGGAGGCCTCACACTACCTGATCTCAGAACCTACTATACAGCCATGGTAGTCAAAACAGCCCAGTACTGGTACAAGAACAGACACACACAGACCAATGGAACAGAATTGAGAACCCAGATGTAAATTCATCCACCTGTGGTCAGCTGATCTTTGATAAAGGACAAAGTCCATTAAATGGGGAAAGGACAGTCTTTTTAACTAATAGTGTTTGTAAAACTGGATGTCAATCTGTAAAAAAATGAAACAGGACCCATACCTCATACCAAACACAAAAACTAACTCAAAATGGATTAAAAACCTAAGTGTAAAACCTAACATGTTAAAAATCATGGAAGAAAAAATAAGGATAATCCTAGGGGCCCTATTAATGGCATAAATACAATACAAACCAAACTAACAATGTACAAACACCAGAAGATAAACTAGATAACTGGGAGCTCCTAAAAATGAAACACTTATGCTCATCAAAAGACTTTACCAAAAGAGTAAAAAGAGAACCTACAAACTGGGAAAAAAATTTTGGCTACGACATATCCAACAAGGGTCTAATCTCTAAAATGTATAAAATATTTGTCTTTTTGTTGTTAAGGTGTTGAAGTAATCCAATTAAAAAACAGGCAAAGGATTATGAACAGACTTCACAAAAGGCGGCTAACAGACCCACGAGGAAATGCTCACAATCATTAGCCATTAGAGAAGTGCAAATTTAAACTACAGTGAGATACCATCTCACCCCGACATTACTGGCACTAATCAAAAAATAACAAATGTTGAAGAGGCTGTAGGGAGATTGGAACTCTTACGCGTTGCTGGTGGGAATGTAAAATGGTACAGCCACTATGGAAAATGATATGGCACCTCCTTAAAAAGCTGGAAATAGAAATATCATATGATCCAAATCCCATTCCTAGGAATATATCCTAGAGAGATAAGAGCTGTTACGTGAATAGATATATGCACACCCATCTTCATTCATGGCAGCATTATTCACGATAGCAAAAAAATGGAAACAACCGAAGTACCCATCAATAAAAGAATGGATAAACAAATTATGGCATATACACACAATGGAATACTCCATGACAATAAAGAACAGTGATGAATCCGTGAAACATCTCACAACATAGGTGAATCTGGAGGGCATTATGCTGAGTGAAATAAGTCAATCACAAAAGGACAAATAGTGTATGAGACCACTATTATAAAAATACAAGAAAAGATTTATACACAGAAAAAATCTTTGATGGTTATGAAGGAGGGTTGGGGTGGTGAGAGGAAATGATTAACTAGATAGTAAATGTCATGGATTGAATTGTGTTCCCCAAAAATATGTCAACTTGGCTGGGTCATGATTCCCAGTATTGTATGATTATGTACCATTTTGTAAATCAGATGTGATTTCCTTATGTGTTGTAAACTCTATCACTATGACGAGGTTATACTGATGAGGTTTATAAGATAGTGTCTTAATCCAATTTCTTTTGAGATATAAAAGAGAGAAGCAAGCAGAGACATATGGGAACCTCATACCACCTAGAAAGCAGTGCCAGGAGCAGAGCACATCCTTTGGACCTAAAGTTCCCGTGCAGAGAAGCTCCCAGACCAAGGAAAGACTGATGCATCACAAGGACCTTTCTCCAGAGCTGACAGAGAGAGACAGAGCCTTCTCCTGGAGCTGATGCCTTGAATTTGGACTTGTAGCCTACTGGACTGTGAGAGAATAAACTTCTCTTTGTAAAGCCATCCACTTGTGGTATCTCTGTTAGAGCAGCTCTGGATGACTAAAACAGAATTTGGTACCGGGAGTGGGGTGCTGCTCTAACAGATACCTAAAATGTGGAAGTGGTTTTGAAACTGAATGGATAGAGGTGCGGCAGCGGTAGTGGACCAGCAGCAGCAGCAGAGTACCAGCAACAGCAGAACCAGACCAGAAGGAGACAGCACTGGAGCCAACCCATGAAACGAGAGAGCTGAGTGCCTGTGCGAAGGAGGATTTCCAGTGGAGTGGGCTGCCTCCGGGTACTTATCGGTGGAGCTAGGCTTGCTGACCCACTGAGCAAGGGAGCTGAGTACCTGTGTGCAGGAGGGTTCCTGGCAGAGTGGGGTGCTTCCGGGCACTTACTAGTGGAGCTACCGAGCTTTGGGACACTTGCTCCAGCAGGGCAGATGCGGGCATGAGGCCCGAGAGGCCAAGGAAGCTGAAGCTGAAGAGACCAGGAACACAATAAGCTGAGCTGCCTCAGTCTCAAAAGGTATGGCCTCAGGGGTTTCAAAGGGTGGAGCCATGCCTCTGGTGTTTCTAAGGGTAGAGTTGTCACTCTGATGGACTAGGAGAATGGTGCGCCTGAAGCTGAGAGAGCAGAGTTGCTGTCCCAGTGGGCCTGGAAGGCTGAGCTGAAGCCCAGGGCAGAGGGGTCTCCACTCAGAATCCGGAGACTGTGGCCAATACCTAGAGTCTGGAGGGCAGGGCTATTGTGTAAATTGTCTCAGAGAACAGAAGATTATTTTCAGAGCCTTGAGGGCTAATGTAATGTTCTCTGCTGACTTGCTTGGTGCATGTTATCCCTTCTTCTCCTCCAGTTTCTCCCATTTGTAATGGAAATATCTAGCTTGTGCCTGTTCTGCCATTGTACCTTTGGAAGCAGATAACCTGTATTCTAGATTTCACAGATGAGGAGGAATTTTTGGATTTGGACTTGGAGTCAAGACTTTTGCTGTGATATGATGAGATGAATATGTTTTGCATGTTGCAAGGACATGAATTTTGGGGGGCCAAGGGGTAGAGTGTCATGGATTGAATCGTGTCCCCCCAAAATATCTGTCAACTTGGCTGGGCCATAATTCCCAGTATTGTATGATTGTGTACCATTTTGTAAATTTGATGTGATTTCCTTATGTGTTGTAAACTCTGTCACTATGATGAGGTTAGACTGATGAGGTTTAGATAGTGTCTTAATCCAATCTCTTTTGAGATATAAAAGAGAAAAGCGAGCAGAGACACATGGGAACCTCATACCACCAAGAAAGCAGCGCCAGGAGTAGAGTGTGTCCTTTGGACCTAAGGTTCCTCTGCTGAGATGCTTCCAGACCAAAGGAAGACTGATGCATCACAAGTACCCTTCTCCAGAGCCGACAGAGAGAGAAAGCCTTCTCCTGGAAGCTGATGCCCTGAATTTGGACTTGTAGCCTACTGGACTGTGAGAGAATAAATTTCTCTTTGTTAAAACCATCCACTCGTATTTCTGTTAGAGCAGCACTAGATGACTAAGACAGTAAACAAGTGTTAACTTTGGTGAAGGAAAGACAACACACTGTATAGGGGAAGTCGGCTCAGCTTGACCAAGGCAAAGCCATAGAAGCTTTCTAGATACATCCAGACACCTTGAGGGACCGAGTTACTGGGGCAGAGGGCTGGGGACCATAGTCCCGGGAAACATCTAGGTCAATTGGCATAACACAGTTCATAAAGAAAATGTTCTACATCCTATTTTGGTGAGTAGCATCTGGGGTCTTATAAAGCTTGCAAGTGGCCATCTAAGATACATCTATTGGTCCTATCCTGTCTGGAGCAAAGGAGAATGAAAAAAAAACAAAGACACAAGGAATGTATTAGTCCAAAGGATTAACGCACCACATGAACCACAGCCTCCACCAACCTGATCCCAGAAGAATTAGATGATGCCCAGCTACCACCACTGACTGCTCTGACAGGGATCACAGTAGAGGATCCCAGACAGAGCAGGAGAAAAATGTAGAACAAAATTCAAATTCACAAAAAAAGACCAGACTTACTGGTCTGACAGAGACTGGAGGAATCCCCGAGACTATGGCCACTGGACAC